GTAACGCCTCTTGGCATGATCATTATTATGATTTGATATTCTCTTGCACCATGAATGGGTGCCTTCGCAACCAATATAGTTGCACCTCAATGGAACAACTTGATGTTAATCTGAAGTACCAATCAGGCATCGGTTCTTCTTTACGTGTGGGCGATCTAGATCATCTTGTTTTGTGAAGACCAGGAAGGATTACCTTAAAAAGATTTAGCTTTCAGGTTGCATTCTCACTGATAGGCATTTTATAGTCATAGAATCATTGGAATTATTATGCTAGGTACTCCAAGTTGTGTTCCTACGTAATGCACTACAATTTTACAAAGGCGTAATAGATTGGAATGATATGGGTCTTATTTTCTATCTGTTACTCATAATATACTCTTTAGATTTGCATCAAGTCCTGGAAACAACCTCTTACAGAAATGTAGGAAAAAGGCTGCGTACAATACACCCAAAGTGGTCGGACCCTGCGCAAGCGGGAGCTACATGCACCGGGCTGCCCTTTTTTTCATCTGTATTCTTGACATGTGGTTATCTCCTCTCTGTAGGTACAAGTAATACATGCAATTGTCAAGAAAAATAACATATATGTGGTGAACAACTCCCATAGGTATTATTTTTCTCTACGGTTTTAGGCAAAGAAAAGCAAGATTGATGATGATTATACTAAGAGGGATAATGGGCAGCTAAAGGGAGAGTATGACACCTCTAATAGGCACATATTGTTTGTTTCAGGTAGAGTAAATGTCGGTTGTTTTACAACAGATGGGATGTCCTTCATTTCATCTTCTATGCTATCGGTGGTAGGTGTTTCATTTGTTCTCCCCACCTCCCCACCTCCGCCCTCTCTCTTACCCAATTGCTCTTACCTGGACTCTCCCATCTCTCCTATCCCAGATTGACTTCGTTTGACCCTTGCAGCAAGTGGCCGTCATACCCGTCGGCGACGCGTCCGTGCCTAGCGCCTGCCACCGCGCGCCATCGCTCATCGTACACCACCTCGCCGTCCTAAGCTGAGTCCCCACGGGTTGCACTCGTCGGCGGCGGCGGCGCCACCCTCATCCGGTATTTTGAGGTTTTCACGCAGATCTGTTGTTCAGTCTTAGTGCATCGTGCCTCCTGACTCCGCATGATGTATTTGCTAGCTGCTTGTATATTCTACTAAGATTGACGTGAGTCTTCTTGGGCCTGATTCATTCAAGCAAACTATCTGCAGACAATTATTTCATTTATTTATTTGAAATAATTTTTTTCTTTTAGGAGAGTATACAGAAAGACGAATAGACATGCAGACTAAGCTCCATAGCAAAAGGATTTTGTTAGTGCATGCCATGTTTATGCTCACTGTTGAATATTATGTATATAACTATTTATGCAATACTTGGACCATAGGAGCAATTCATTCTGTATATTTTGCTGGGGATTGTGCCTTGCAGTCAATTTATAGAAGGGTAAGATGTATCGCAATTTCTTTGACTTGCATTCTCTGTGATGTCAAGTAAGAAAATAGAATATATACTCTTAGAATTATCTTTTCTTTTTTTCGATGTCTCTATCTTACTTATATAATCCAATTGGCATTCGCTGGAGTTTCTGTTGACGAAACATTTGTTTTGTGATGTCAGCAGGTTCTGTTGATCTACATTACGGTTTAATTCTTACACAAATTAATGTTGACTTGATTCCCTGTAGTAGGTTGAGAGGCTTCTCCTCTCATGATTTACTCTGATTAGTTTGCTTGGCTCCATGCTCCTCATGATTTCTTTGAACTTTTCTGTAGGAGCTCGATCAACAATCACCTAAGAAAAATATGTCGTTCTTCTCTACAATGGTTGCATGTGGAATTTGAGGAGAATTTGTGCACCAGCATCCGGCTCCTTGATGTTGCTCTGATCATATTGTGTAAATATATTTCTAATAAAGCAATCGCCCGATGGTGTACATGTTAGAAATAACAAGATGTAATTATCAAGTGTGAGAGATGGCAACCTCATGATGGGATGGTATGTACTGTTGTGCTCATCAATAGGTTAGTCTTTCATTCTATTGCAGCCAGTATGTTTTCTGTTATGCAAACAATTAAGAAATATCTAATTTCTATGTACGTCCAAATATATATAAGTGGTTGTTGTTAACACTGAATTTGGATTTGTTAACGGTCGCTGCATTTGGTCTATCCCGAGCCTTTGGCTGTGGATCACGTTCTTTTGATATCCGCTTGCCACGATATGTTATCTCTGGTTGTGGTTGTGGCTGGACTTCTGGTATGTGTTACCTCTATTTTTTTTTTCTCTGGACTAATTAGGGCCTGCTTCTGTTTGCTCTGGTTGATATAATGGTTGTGGCATGCAGCAGCCAAGCCAACAACAGAGCCAGGCTTAGGCCTGATGACGACTTGACAAATATGGTCAAGATGTTGAAGATGAGGAATCTGACGATACTGAAGAAATAGGGGGTACTCTTAGCTTTAGTTCCTTATATCATTTTTTGATGTCCATTGCTATGTATCTGTATAAACTTGCTTCAGCCATTATTGTCAATTGGCCGGCAAAAGGATTGCATATCTCTAGCCATACAGAATAAGCGGATGAGATGATGTGCATTCATTTGGTGGCACAAAATCAATTTCCTTTGCCAACTAATAGTACATACATTAAGAAAATTACTATAGTTGGCAGCTCTTCACTGCATGTTTTGAAATGTTTCGTGTGCCTGTCCCATTGAGTCACTTACAAGGTTGCTACAACATGCTAAGTAAGCATCCAATTATTTACCATATTTTTTGTATCAATCCGAGAAAGACAAGAACGATGGCTGGAAGGCAGGGCGTTGTTGGATGGAAGGGAGAGTGAGAGAGACAGGAGGGGCATGAGGTGACAAGTTCAGTGGGGTTGCCGAGGAGGTTTGAGGGAGATAGGCTGCCATTGAGATTTTTATATCCGCTGGCATGCGCGCTTGCTTGCTGATGTGCGCGTGTGGCTGTTGCTGCTGTGCATGTGTGCCACGAACATCATGATATTCTTCCTTTTCTTAATTCCTTGATTTGAAAAATAATTTGCTCTGCTTGTCTAGGAACATAGCAGTCGGGCAAACGACACTTTGGCATTCAAGGGAAATAATTTCTTTACTTTAGAAAATGCGGGTTCAAATTGGTCTGTTGAGTTATGGCTGGCTGATCAGATTAATTTTTCTATTTAAAAAATGTAGCAAGCATTTCATTGGAGATTGGTCTTTTGAGTTATGGAGCATTTCATTGGAGATTGGTCTTTTGAGTTATGGCTGGCTGATCGGAATAATTTTCCTATTTAAAAAATGTAGCAAATAGCATTTCATTAGAGATGGCTTTGCAGCAAAGTGCAAATCGTACAAACCAAGCCATCGCCGCCTCGTCGCTCTCGCCGGGAGCAACAACAACCTCCGGTTTCTTCTTCGCCTTCTTAGCCGACATCTCCCCCATTTGGATGCCCTGCGGCACGAGCCACTCCGCCACCGCCTGGGACTCGACCTCCGGGAAGTTTAGGCCCGTCTTCGGCCGTCCGGCATGCCACACCGCCACGTCGTAGGCACGCACGGCCTCATCGGCGGTGGGATATGTGCCGAGCCACCAACGTCGTCCGGCGTCGGAGAACTCCAGTCTGAAGTTCCCGGAGGGCTTCGCCCTCATGCCGAAGAAACCGGACTTGCCCTTCGACGTCTTCTTCGGCGTCATCGGGGAGCGGGCGGCGGCCGAGCGGGGAGCGGGGCGGCGACGTGCGG